ATATAAAATAATAAAAATAAAAAATAATTAAAAGATATTCGCCAATTGTTTCTCTCAGTGCATGCTTGTTTGTATGTGTGCGCATATATGTGTGCATGTACATATATACATACATGTATTTATGTTTGTCTCTCTTGGCACTCACTTGTGCGAAAATCACATTGGAGCCCGACTGGCGGGAGCCTAATTTTTTGCGACCCCTGCAAAAGGAGCAGGCGAAGCAGCAGCAGCAGCACTAGCAAATGAATAAGAAGAAGCAGCAGCAGTTGTAGCATTTGCTTTAGGTTAAAGTAGCTGGGAATGAGAAGTTCCCTCAACGCTTTTTTTTGTTTTTTTTTTTTTTTTTTTTTTTTTTTTTGTTGGCAGCCAATCATAAAATGTTTTCTTGGCATTGGCCTCAAGTGCTGCCTGGAGGATGCGTAGACTGAGCAGCGACAGCTCGAACTGAAAGGATATTCCCAACGTGACTCAATTGATAATCTTTAAACAGCATAAGTGAAACTTAATTGGAGCTAAGCTGCAAGCAAAGAGTCACAAGGCCTTTTAATTAGCTTCAGCGATGTTTATCTGTTGACATAATTTGTTGTCATTATGAATGGATGTGTGTGCGTGTGTATGGGTGGGTGGGTGTGAGAGAGAGTGTGTGTGTGGTTTCTCCCCCCTTTTCCACCTTGATGCATTCTAATTGAAAATTACAGGGCCACTCAGCCACTCAACCGACAGCCACATCAACCACAATCCACCCACTCAATCCATGCCACGCCCACTTTTCGCAAAGCAAACCTTCTACCCTTCTCAGTGGTTCGAAACGTCATTCGATTTGATTTGTTTGTTTGCTATTGTTTGTGTTTATTTATTGTGTATTTTGTTACTTTTAATGCATCTTTTATCTGGATTTTGCCATCAATAAGCCAGAGAGTGAATGCTCATTGTTGTTGTTGTTGTTGATAGTGATACAAAATTTGTGCGGCATTGTGTGTGCCGAAGAGTTGCCCGAGTGACGACGTCTGCGTCTCAAAGTCTTGTTTACTCAAATTACAGCTGGGGTTATCTGCAGTTACATCCAGAGTGCCATTTCCCAAGTCTCAGTCTCAGTCGGAGCTGGCGAGTCAAAGTTCGCTCTTGTCTAGTTGTCTAGTTGACCCAATAGACTGCCAGCTCTCTCACACACTATCACTTGCTGTCTCTCTCACCCTCTGTCTTCCTCTTTTTAGCTATAGCGTTTATTTGCTTTAGCCAGCTGCTTTGTTAATCTCGCTCTACTTTGCTTTTACAATTTGCATTTAGAAACTCCAGCGAAATCTTATCGCAGCTGCCCAACGCGAAATGTTTACTAAATATTATAAATTGCTAGCCAGCGATCAGCTGTGCGATATATGTATAAAGTTAAAGTTGAATGACTTCTTAAATAGGTTAAATATATGTATCTATGAAAGGAAAATAAGCTTCTGATTATATCGCCAAGATTATGTGGTTGAACGATGTGTTCAGAGTATAAAAGTTATGGTAGTAAAAAGCATTTGAAAAGATGTTATCTAAATTACGCGGAGATTTGGAAGAACATAGGGCTTAAGTTCTTCAGCTGTGGAGGCTCTTGTAATATTCAGTTATATGATTATGTAGCATGATTTGTATGATTTGTAAAGTTCGTAAGAGAATTTCCTAATAGAATTTTCAAGTATTTGTACCCGAACTATTATACATATATACCATACCTATAAACTATACACCATACTCTTGTATTCAGCATTACATGACGAAGATTTTTTTACAATTTGAAATATAAATATTTATTTTCTTATTATTAATTCAACTGAAAAGTCAATGAATTGTGTTTAATTGAGTTCTAGATTTATACACACATTCAACTACCATTATTTTAGATGTTAGTCAACGCCTCAGAATTTCCGCTGACATCAATTGTAGCTTCAGCTAATACAAATACGATTCAATTCACTATACCATCTGGTCGTACACCTAAAATGCATGAAATGAAATATCTAAAAATTCAACGATGAGTCATTCGCGTAAAAATCAAATGAAAGACCCCAAATACACAAAGGCCCAGACTCAGTGCCAGCAAATTGTCTGAATACACAATTTTGGGGGGCGTTCAAGATTTGCCAGCATCACAGGGGAACTAATGAGCATTAGCTATCTCTAATGATCATCACTGATCATTACAAATTAGTCAGCCAAAATGAATACACATTATGCTCACAAGCGCGCGAACTGATGATCATTAGCGATCATCAGAGATGACCAGCGATCAGTTGTAATTATTTGTGATCATGATCAGCAAGTGATACGCATAAATGAATATATAATTCTTCGAAGGGAGCTCCAGATAGGCCAGTATCACACTGTTCTAATGATCATCTGTGGTCCATGATGAGTAGCAGTGTTCAATGATCATTAATGATCAACACCTTTCAAAGGCAATCATCATCACTGCTCAGTGATGATCATCATGTGGCCCCTGGTCTTACACACAAAGATCAACTGAAATGTTTGTCACACCTTGTTGTTTTTTTTTTTTTGACGTCAACTTTAGCCGGCATTTTATGGTTGCTCTGATCTTGTACAGGCTCCTCCGCCTCATAGATTTCGTTCTATTTTCAGTCTGCCATGAAATTTGTGACATGAACTGGGCAGCAGAAGGCGGGGAAGGTGGATCAGTAGGCTGTTTTCTTTCATTGATGAGCCCAGCATCTCACAGAGGGAGGCATTAGAGCAGAGCAGCGCCGATCCCAACCAGCATATTGGGCATGGAAAATCCATTGGATCTCTCAGTGAGAGATTTATGCCACTCTCCGAATTATGCTTTGTTTACCTTGAAAAAGTTTCATCGTTGATTTTTCTCTATTTTTAGTTGCCCCTATACCACACTTGTATATATACACAGACGATGCTAGCTAGTCTAGCTGCTGTAGCTATGTTTTTTTGGCTTAATTAAAATCTGTGGGCTTTTGGCTTTTATTCGTTGGCCAAACTTTTGCGCATTTGAATTTAGGTTTTCTGCTTTCTATTACGTTAAATTTTGTGTTATTTATAAAAACGACTTTTTTATATTTATGATTTATCTTGCGTTATGTGATTTATAAGATATATCAGCAAAGAAATTGGCTTGGAAATTATAAATAATTCGAGCTAAGGAAATTTATTTGCTTGGAACCCCTATAAGTTCTTTATTTCTAACATTTTCTCTCCTCATATAATAAATTTAATAAATTAATATCATTTTATTTTTAAAGTTTTTTTTTGTTTCTTTACATTTTCTCTGTTGCTTCTTTCTTTGCTGACTTTTCATCTCCTTGACTTACTATTTCAACATCTTTTAACTCTACCTTCTCAGTTATTCAGATTATAATTCCAAAATAGTTAATGCATCAGCATCCATTGGATCTCTTCGCCTCTCGACTTTCTTCTGCTTGTGACTTAACTATTTAGAGACGAGTAGTTAACTTGAGCATATCCAATCAGCGGCCACGCCCACGGATCGTACGTGCCACAGCGCCCAAGCAGCTATTGAGTATCGTTTAGTGATGATTGTGAGAATCGTGCCAAGGTCTCAGATTGTGTTCGCTTTAACTACGTGCCTCGTTATCAAGCGGCAAAGCAACAGCTCCGACTTGAACCGCTGGCCAAACACAATCGGCCCACAATCAGCCAGACAGATAGAGCCAAACAAGTTGTCAAGTGCTGCAGCGCCCACACCGACGCCACAATCGGTGGCCCACGCCACAAATAGTTGACAAACGAAATGCGGCAACTTTTGTTTTACAGCCGCAGCGGGTGTCAACGAGCCGCCTAGCTGATTGCACCTGCCACAGAGGTGGGTCAGCTCGGCTCATTTTCTATTTCATTGCTCCAAGTCGGCGCTGACTTGTTAATGGTTTCTTGACTCTTGCCACTTGCCGCATTCTTGGCCGGGCTGCAGCAACTGCAGCAACCGCCTTGCTGGCAGTTGGACTCGGCCTCGGTCTTAGCCCATTTTTAGTCACGCTTTGTTCAGCTTTTGGGCTTTTGGGTGTTGATTGATTTTTATAAACAAAACAACGCTAATGGAAAAGTCGGGTGCAACATTCTTTAGCTGATGCTGTGGCTGCTGCTGCTGCTGTTGCTAGCTGATAAACCCGGCTGCTGTCTGCAACAACTTGGTGGCATTTGCCCATATATGTGCCTACGTGCAGCATGTGGCATCCACTGCTGGTGAGGTCGCGCTTCGCTAATATGGAAAATGAAAACAGGAAAAATGCGTTTCAGATGCGTGCAGCAAGTTCTGCTGCCACTGCTGCCGCACTGCTGTGGCATGCAATTCCATTTTCCATTTTCCCCTCTCGAAAACTGTTGAAAGATTTATATTACATCAAGCACTTATCGCACTTACGTCTATAACTCACTTTTTTACTTGCAGATTTCTTAAGCAAATATTTTAACGACAGCAACTAGAAGACGAAGAAGAAGAAGAAACAGAGGTAGCAGAAACAATAAGAAACAACAACCACAGCAACCACAACGAAGCAAACGCAACAACGACAACAATTAGCACGAAACTTTCTAAAAATAAAAAAAACATTAACTTCACTTCATTTTTACTACTACCGAAACGAACCAACTGCAAACTGCTTCAAAACTGAAAACTGGCACCGATTTCGGCTAATGCAAATTGAGGTGAGTTTTTCCTATGAATAAGTCTATATATAAATGTATATCTTTAAATATATAATAGCATACTTATGTATACTGAATTATATAATTATTTATTTAAAAGGCTCAAGAATCACAATCAAATATATTTATAACACATAATAATGCATGTTTATCACATATGTAATGTATCACATATGTAATGTACTCAACAAATTATTTTGTGTTATTTTATGTTAGTCTTTTAAGTTAAAAGAGCGACAACTTCATAATATAGACAGACAAAACAGAGCTAGATCGATCTCCTATGAGGAATGGGCTTTGCCACGCCCTTTATGCTTGTATTATGCATTTCAGCAAAACCAATATGCTATGTGCTATGTATATATAACTCGTTTACTTTGTTAATCCAGCTACTGTTCTACTAATGTAGCTAATACAGGGTATATTCCAGTCAAACTCTCCCTGTTCCCAAACATTTCATTTTAGCTGATTACAAAGTGCTACCAAACTGCTATAAAACATAACTAAGTGATGGTAAAAAATAGGTTTACGAGCTACTCTCCTTCAGTAGGGGCCCGCTCAAACTACCTCAGAAGTAGTTTCGTTTAACGACTGCCCAACTTTGAATACCCTACAGTTTCGTTAGATATTAAAACAATATAATTTTCATAGAGATAACTTTTTTCTCTGCTTTTCTTTTTCTTTTGTGGGGGGAGTTGTGATTCAGCAAATTTGACTGCACGAACTTTGAATAGGCCTCGCAGTGTCTCTCCATGGTTTTTATGGATTTGATATTGTTGTTTTCCTCTTCTTCTTGAAAATTTTTATGCCTCTGCCTCTGGCTCTGCTGCCTCAGACCATTTATGCGAGCGAAATTCTTTCTTTCTTCCATTTTATTTCTTTTCATTTGCTCGCAAACACAAAATAAAAATTGTGGAAATTACATAAAAGGCTCCACATTGGCGCAGTCTACATGACATTCTGTTATCCTTTGGCCGCCCACGCAAATAAACGGGAGTGGAAGCAAAGCAATCAGAGGGTGCCGATGCGCATCTCAAATGATAGACGAGCCAATGCCCTATGTAGACTGTGATATGAAGTCTGATAAGATTTGCAAGCTAAATGAGAGATTGGAAGACATAGATATATATAGGGTTGTCCATATTCGATTGACCCATCTAGCAGCCTTTTATCTTTTAACAGAGATGCCAGATCGCTCATTAACATAGCGTGTTGGAAGCTTTAGTCTAATGAATCTGTATACGAGCATTTCTAGCTTCATTTCTTGTCTGCTGCTGCCTGTTAGTCTGGCATACCCCATGCTCTGTCTCTCTGGCAAGTTTTTACTTTATGCTGAATCGAATCGCCGTTGTCGTCAAGCACAGCAAAGTGTTAGCTGTGCAGATTCCTTGCTGGCACAGGACTCCTACGCACACGCGCCAACACACACACACACACACTAACACACACATACACTTTTATATGGCCAGACAAAATGGAGGCTGTGGCGCCAGAAAGTCGCGCCAGTTGAGTTTTTTCATGGCGGCAGCGTTTGCTGAGTTGACTTGACTTGGCTTTGTTAGCTGGGGCTGTGAATACCATATAGAGACATATATACATACATGCATATAGGTATCTATATGTACAATATATACATATGATTAAAAGGGTCTTCAGTTAAGTTGTCAACATTTATTTTTTCTTTTTCTACTTTAGCTGCATTTGCTCAGTGCAGACGCTGCCCAAGTGACGTATACTTAATCTAGCTGACTGTAATTAATCAAAGCTAATTAAAACTTCAAGTCAAGATATCCCGCAGCAAGCATACCATTTTGCATAATATATAAATTTATATATTTGTATATAATAGAAAAAAAAAAAAAATAGTTAGTCTTGCCATTTATACAACTTGGCAGGAGGATGCTGCTGCTCCTGCTCCTGCTGCTGCTGCTGCTGCTTGTTGTTGTATATAAGCAGAGCAGCGCAGCCATTGGTGGTCCTGGCCCACCCATTGGGCGCGCAGTTGGTGGTTGTTGTCGCAGTTGCCCAAAAAATATACATATATATATATTTGTATGCAAAGGAAAAGAAAAAGTCGACAAAGTGGCAGCTAGCAACTCCAACCCCCAAAGCTGTTGATCTCTGCACCCATCCCTCTTGCACGTGCAGTCGTTGCCCATAATTCGGTTTCAGCTTGAACGTTTTTTGGCTTGGAGCATGCGCAGCAGAGCTCAGCATCCCAGTTGGTGTTTCGTTCGTTTTTGTACGCCCGTTGATTTTCATATTGCTTACGACTTGTGGCATGAATGATGTTTGCATCAGAAGCGCACGATGTGTCGCCGGCGTAGCACATCATTCTAGGCCTAGCCTCCGATCCGGGCAGGACACAACGCCAGGCGCTGACATCATCATCGAGTCAGACAACAACAGCCAGTCAGCCAGCCAGCCAGCTAGCCAGTCAGCCAGTCAGCTAGCCAGCCCAGCATCCAACTCTGCATCTGCTCTTTCAGTTCAAGTTCAAGTGTTGCTTCAAGCAGTTGTCACGCGCCACCGTTTTGTGCCTTTTGTTCTTCAAACTGAGAAAAAAAAAAGAAAACGTTGTTAAGTTATTGTTATTGTTGCCTTTACGCGTGCCTTTTCGTTTTAGTCTTTAACATCAAAGTGCCTTAAAAGTTATTAAAAAAAAAAAAAATTATTAAACAAAAATTATTAACTATTAAATTGATTCGCGTTTTTGGTTGCATTTGTCGTCGTGTGCCTTAGAAATTTAATGCAACATTTTTTGTAGCTGTCTAGAAATTTAGGCCCTAGGCTCGAACTCTGCCAATAATTTGCCTTAACTAAAGAAACAAACACCAAATACACCAAATTTGTTAAGATTATATATACACAGAACGTTTTTAACCCTATATATATAGATATAGATATATACCGTATACAAACAGTTTTTAGCCGTTATTTGTTATATATAGAGATGAATATTTGAATATATTGAGATTCGTAGTAGTCGCGTTTTTGGAAGCTACTTTTTAAACAGATTTATATAGTTGTAGGGAGTTAGGCTCTCGTGTTAGTCGTTTTCCATTTTGTGTTTTAGTTTTCGCTCTTAACTTATCGGTTCCGTACAATTTCTTGTACAAAAACGTGCTGAACGGGTATCCGTGCCGCCGTTTCAACACCACAAACGTGCCTCAGCTCGATGAGCAGCAGTTGCCGCCGCATTAAGTGGTGTCAGTCGGGCCCTCCGATCGTCGTGCGCTGCCCGTCGTAGTCAACGATTTTTAAAATCCCTTCACACCCGTGCCAAAAAAAAAAAAGAAAACAAAAAAAAAAACAAAAACAGCTATATTTAAAAAAATATAAATCAAACAACACACACACTCACACACAACACAATACACGAGTCCTGAGTGCCTTTCGAAAAAACCGAAACGGAGAAAAAAGAACATAAAATATTACGTAATTTTAAACGAAATTCCTTTAATGAGCTTCAAAATGTGCACGAC